GAAGTAACTGCTGAATTTGACACACTGTGGTTTGTCTTGGAAGAGGACAGTGTAGCAGAGACAAGATTCCTGTATTTCATTTAGTGTTGTCGTCTCTGCTTTGCCATAGGGAAGTCCATGATATTCACCATCATTCAGTTCTCTTAATGGCACTCCTCACTGTATGCTAAAATGCCCTGAATGAAAACAGAGGAATTTAGAGTAACAGAGAGAAAAAATGGGCCATGCTGAGTATATCTTGTTCCAACCAGCTGCAGAGAGGAGGTCCCCAGCTGCTTTTGATACAGTGTCGCCTGGACATTCCAGCTTTGCCTCCTTGAGGGTTTCTACAGCATTGTCTAGGAGGTGTAGAAAGACCTCAGTGACTTTCAGTATCTTCCAGAATCTCACCCTGCTGCTGTTTTCCTTAAGAAAAATGTGGGGTCACGTGGTAGTTCTTCTCTGCAGATGCTGTACAGCACCTCTTACCCTCTGAGTAACACCACCGCAGGATAAACTATTTGTGCTTTCAAGCAAGTTTCTTTTTTTTTAGAAGACCTGTGATTGACATTTTTAATCATTATCTTGGTTTAAAGAGGAGAACAAGCAACCTTTTAAAGATGTATTTATTAATTTTCATGAGTCTCAATCAAGTGTACATGAATAGAGGGCCACCAGCCGCACTTATGAATATGCAGAGATTATTTTACAGGTTATCTATAGAAGAAGAAGAGAATAAGATAAATTGGGTCTGTGGAAAAGTCAGCATAGAACACTGGTACTGATTGTGATCATCTACTTACTGGGCTGATGGACTGTGGTAGGACCTTTCTCTTGCAGTGTCTTTTCCTTAGTAGATACATGGAGTTACACAATGTGTTTTATTTTTCTGACTGTTGTAAAATAATGCAATTTTAGATCAGCTGAAGCAATATAAAAGTTTGACCTGGACTTGACAAATTGCTTTGGCTGAACCAAAAAAACAGACAAGTCCAAATGCCCCGTTCTAACATCTGAACTGTATAGTTACTGAGAAGATTTATTAAATTTCTTCAGCTGGTGTACTTGTACTTCAGTCACCAGGATACTGGGGCATATCTTAATTTCATTGCTCCACAAAGGCAGTCCCTTGATGCATGAGTCAACTTTGGGAAGAGTTGCTTAATTTCAGGGTGTTGAGAAAAGCACTGGCATCACTTAATCCCAAACACTCAATCTTCACAGGTTTTGAATTAGTTTGAATTTTTATTAAGCTTAAGATCTGCAGAGCATTTTTAGGTCGTTCTATTTCTATTTTTTGACTAATTGAAAAACACAGCATAATAACTATTTTAAATTTCTACCATTTTTGCTGCAAATGAATGAGTGTTGTAACTGGATTGTGTTTATCACTTTCTCTGTGGAGAATGGAGTGTGTTGATTAACCCACTTTCCAGTCATTCCTAAATTGACCAAGTGATACAGCTTCCTTTCCAAAGGCAAACCAAAAGTATTTCACCATTAAGAAAATCTGAAACAAATTTCCTGGCACTGTCCCTTCGAAACTGTTTTTCTAAAGAGACAATTGTCAAACCAAATATCCAAGTGATAATTTGGTTCATCTGAGTTTAATTTCCCCAAGTTGTTTTGGAGCCCCAGTCCAAGCTGAAGGGTCTGTTTCTCCCAGCTGTATGATTCACAGATTGCTCCAGCCAGGATGAGTGTGCAAACAGAATTAGTGAAGGACAGAGTAGGTGATCCAGGGTTAATCATTTGTAAGGAGAGCCTGAAATATGCCCCCCACACTTTGAGATGAAGGGCAGGTGGGGCTACACAAACACAGCAGCCTTTGGGCTGGGAGGCAGCTGCAGTTGCTTTGTTGCCCATCTGCAGAAGAGGAAATTCTACTGACTGAAGCAGGGAAGGTAGTCTCAGCTCTGAGCAACTGATCCTTTCAACACCAAGAAGATGAGACTTTATAGAAATCAATTAGTATAAGCCATTTATAAGTAGTTTGGTTTCCTTATTTATAAGGGTTTGGATATCACTCTCCCCCAGTAGAACTTTTATAGAGAAGAATGGAAATAGATTCAAGCTACTTTGTATACTTCTCAGGATGTAGTGGGTCATGATGAATCGTATGTTCATACAGAGTTATCAATTAAGTTGAAAAGAAGAACAAAGCAATAGATTCCAGGTGTGGATTCAGCCTGATGTGAGCTGTAATTTATTCTCACAGTTCAGACTGCACATGGAAACAAGAAGAGATAATGTTCTTTTGCAGCAGCAAGGTAATGGCACAGAATTTCAAAGGCTAACTACTGCTGAGAAAATATGTTTACTGGTGAAACATTTGTTCTCTGGTTTATACTATTAAAGAGATTTCTGTAAATGAAGAAGGAAGCACGCTTTGTCAGATGTTTCCTTTTTATATGGAAATTCCTTGTTTACTTTATCCTCTGATGATCATACGGCAGCAGCCACTGACAGCTGCAAAGCTGGTTACTGTTCACGAGGAAGAGGTCCTAGTGGCTTTTTTCTACCATCCAGATATCCTCACCCTTTGTCCTGGTTTTGCTAGGACAGAGTTAATTGTCTTCTTATTAGCTAGGATAGCTGTGTTTTAGGTTCAGTGTGGGATTTGTTATGAGAAGAATGTTGATAAGGTAGTAATGTTATTAGTTGCTGTTGGAGCTCAAGGTCATCATGTTTGGCTGGTTCACAGGTGGGAAGGACTGGGAGGGAGAAGCACAGTGAATAGCAAAACCCCATATTCCATATCATATCATGTCATGTCAGTATATTAACCAGGGTTGACCGGAAATCGGGGATATTCTCTCGTGGATTGCTCAGGCTCACTCTTCCAGGGTTTGGGTTTTGGGACTGTCTCTGCTCCTGGATCACTGGATGGAACAATCTGGGCATCAGTCGGCGGACGGTGAGCAATTGCACTGTGCATCACTCACTTGTATATTCTGTTATCACTGTTGTTATCGTTATAATTTTATTTTCATTAGTAAATAGTTTTTATTTCAGCCTGTGAGTCTCCTTGCCCTTTTCCTTCACATTCTCTCCTCCACTCCCTGGAGGGGTAGAAGAGTGAGAGGGCAGGCTGTTTGGCTGCAAACCAAAAGGAATGAAACCCCCACACCCTTCCCTGGGGGCACACGCAGTTACTGCCCATTGCAGTTAACATAAAGCTCCCATGGAGCAGGAAGAGTGGGTGATTCAGGAAAAGGGAAGGATGACCAGTGCAGTTACGGACCAGTCACTGTTCACAGGGTACCACATCCTTCAGCAACACCTTAAGCTACAGATGTGGAGATGAACAACTTAATAACTGCGAGTAGTAAAGAGAACAACACGTAGTCACTGTTCTGGTGTCCTCAACATTGACTACTCATTACTAATGCTCTCTTGTGTGCAGGCTGACCGGGTCTGTTTCAGCACTACTTTTCCAACAGAAGATGTAAAGAGTGGACTGTGGAAGTATAATTTCTTTCTGTGTTCCTAAGGCTTGATTTGTGAAAAGCAATTTAAGAGTAAATTTTGAGCACAACATCTGTAGGTACACAATCCTTTGTCTTTCAGGGAGGCTTATTGGAACTGATGCCATTTAAAGCCTCTCTTCTTGGTGGCATATACCCCCCAAAACAACCTCCCAAAGGAAAGAACTATAGTAATTTCTGGTTCCCTTGTCTGAATTGAAGGCATCTGAGATGAGAGCAACTCCTTCTCTAGCCCAGTAATTGTTCTGTTTCTCTAATTCTGTCTTTTTTAGTACCACATCTGTTCTATTCCCCATAAAACAAAAAGGGTTTTACTCCCACAACCTGGTGCAATTTATGGTTGTGAGAAAAACTGCAGTATATTTTACATAAGAGAAGAAATTGGTTATTATCAGCTCCCACAAACTGGAATGTGATTTAATAAAATTCTAGCAATTTTATTAGTTATAAACCATATAGATGAGAAGTACATTTAAAGGGCAAATGAAGCAAGAATCAATTTTTTTTACAAATTAAACAGTTTTGTGCAATTACCCTTCTCGTGCATTTCAGTTTGTCTTTGAATGTAAAAGCAGCTCCTGATGGGAAATTTTCTTCAAGTCTAATTTGAAGACAGAAAAACCTCAAGCTCCATGCCAGCAGTGACAATGTCCTCCAGCTCCCTCAACTGGAAGAAGACTTCTGCATGAAAGAGATGTTATGGGGGAAAAAAAAAAAATAGGAACAAAAGCTGTCGTGGGTTTGGGACTAGTGCCAGTGCCAAAAGGGCAGGGAGGTCAGCTTTTGGTTATCCCCCATCATCCGTATATTCCAAAGGGCAAATAAAGGAGGGAGGTGCCCAGTGTCTTTCGGAGGGATAGACACTCACTTCCTGAGAAAATGCTTTTGGATTTCTGCATATAAGCAGCTGTTTTCCCTGATTATCAAGAATGGCCAGTCCGGCTTTGGCAATTGGCAGGAGGGACAGTATTTTATTTTTTCAGGAAAAGAAAACAAGTCAGTATAATGAGAACTCAGCAGTCCTGCAGAATAGATTCTAAAATACAGATGCCTTTGGTGTTTTATATTATTAAAGTAATTATTAGAACAAGAAATGCATGTGCTGAGGAGTGTTACTTTTTTTCTCTTGAAATATGTGCTGTTTACCACTGCTATGGACAAGATTTACAGATAGCCTGGCTAAGAATTAGTTTTGTGATTGTACATCCAAAATAATGGGTCCTCAAAATTGGCAGATCTTGCAGAAAACTCTAATTGGGAACTAATTCTTCCTTCTCCCCACCCTCAAATTTGCTTCCATCTAGGGTTGTTTTTAAAGCTACGGTTTTGTCAGTATCAGAGAAGAAGTCATTGATAGCTCAGGAGTTCTTTGATACGCCGAGCTCCTGCTCTCCCTACCAGTGCACTTGTGTGCATTCAGAAGGTTGGAAACCCAGATCGGCAGGTGGTCAGGAGGGACTGGGTCACTCGAGTAGCCTGACTACAGCACACTTCACACTTTGATATTTGACTGAGCTTTTTGAAGCCATCATCCTATGCTACCTCTTTCAGTGTCCCTGCTGCTGCCTGCACAGTGAAGGCTGCGATGGAAACCTGCCTCTTTACTTCCTCCCAGGCCTCATGCTGATCTGCTTTGCTTTCAATATCAAACATGGCATCATAGATCCCCGGGAAGGACTCTCCAGCATACTTGTTGTGACTGCTTGGAGCAAAGATGACGTGTCTGTGAGGAGAGAAGAAAAAAATGTGGGTATACTAAATAAAACAATCATTACCAGTGTGCGTTTCGTTGTAGGGAACTGTATGTGTGCTACATAAAGCAGCTATGAATCCTGTGAAGATCAGAACTTATGAAATACACAGGAAATCTGCCTGTACCTGTCTTTAAAAAGACAGGAGGAAGCAGCTCCCAGGGCAAAATCTATGGAAAAGGGCAGATTTAGGACAGGTAGCCTTCTCCTTGGGAAGAGATGATGCGTTTGTCTAATTAGGAATGAAACAATATTTTTTTTTTTGTTTGTTTGTTTTTTTAAATTGGAGCTCAACAAACCTGTTGAACTAATGTGACAGTCTGGAACAGGGAATACAACTAGTTGTGGGTGTACAAAGAGCAGTGGGACAGAAACCTCCAAATAACTAAGCAGTTGAATCATGGTCAGCAGATCTGGGAAAGGAATTTTAAAAGAATGCAAATAAAAAAAAAAAAAAATCTGTGAGAGGATTATTAAGAAGAATAAGAATTCTTCAGAGAAGAAGTGATCATATGGGAACAGAACTGTGCAAAACTACCAATTTTCTTCATTGGTGGGATTTTTTTTCTTAAATAATGAATACTTGCAGATCTGTTTTTAAATTGATTTTGTTCGTATGAAGTATCAAAATACATTTGTAGCATGTGAAAGTCTACCCAAATCAAAATAAACACTAAAACTACATTAATAAATGCAAGCAAGTAAAATAAATAAAGAAAGAAATAAATCCAGACAGCTCTAAGTGATACTTAACACCCAACAAGAAGAACTGTAGAAAACATCCATTTCATTCTTCCAAAAGCGTGAATGACAGTTTATCCTAGGAGGATGGAAGTGTGATTCTCAATTCTACCTGCCTGAGGGACTTCTGGTGTGGTGTGAAAGGCATCAATCAGAGTCAGATACAGCCAGTCATTAGGAAAAGGGGGATACTGAGAGTAAAGTGATGGAGTAGCACACCTGACTCTGGAAGCTAGCTTCTTGTCCAGTGTTACTAATAAATGGACTGGGTTTCTATAAGGGGTATTGTGGTGCACTGAACATTGTCTTTCTCTGGGCCCATGTGCTTGTAGAAGAGAAAATTTCCAAGAATAACTAGTTAATGATTTAAGCTAATAGGAGCATCCAAAGCTGAGACAGATGGATCTCTGCAACACAGCTCATGGGCCTTTATCCTGTGCTCAAAAGTCACTCTCTCCAAGATCTCTCTTCTGGACTTCTCTCTTCACCTGACCCTCACTACACATCTGTTCTCATCCTACTCTCCCTATTACTCTACCCTCACTTCTTTTTTTCTTTCTGTGCAGTTGATTCTCCACTGAAACCTCACTTTGTACAGGTTTAAAAGAGCAAGTGGTAACAGAAGTAGTACTACTATATCCCGGCAAATAAAAGTCACAGAGTATGATGGCTAATAAAACTAGAGGGCCAGAGCCAAGAAGAGGAATGAGGCACCACGAGATGCATGCAGCCAAGGAGTTCTCCTTGGGGGTTATAAAAGAAGTCCACTGCTCACTGGCTTGTACCTAAAACAGAATGTGTTGAGCTGTAATTCCTATATAAGGCCTATACAGCAGTTCAACTGAACAACCAGTTAGGGTTGGGTTCACCTGCAAAAGTACAGTGCCTTAGACAGCTGGTCAAGAAACTTGTTGCCTTACCTGTAAAACTTCCTCCCTGGTAAGCCAAGAGGATCAATGAAAGCTCTTTCTATAAACATCAGCTGATCGTTCATGATTCGCACTGCGACTGGACTGCAGAAAATGGAGACAGAGACATTTCACACAATGAGTTTCATTTCAACACTTTTCCTCTTCTTTGGACGTTAAAAAAAATGACATAGATGGTCTACAGTTTGCAAAAAGATGCGGTTTTTGCAAATGGGGATATTCAATACATGTTATATTAATGCATTAGGATTTCTGTGTTAGAAAACTCAACTACAAGATTTCACACTATGCAAAATAAAATGGGAGACTTCCTGAGAGTGTAAGATACTTGCTCAGTATTAAATGACACTAGAAACATCCCACTTAAAAGAGGGGAGAGGAAGGCTGAGATTTAGGTCAAGATGAAGATACCTAGATTTTGGTGTCCGCTCATAAATCAAGTGTCCAAACTCCTGCTCTAATCTATACAGTAACATAATAAGGATGGGATTCAATTGCCTAAACACAACTATCTGGTACCACACCAGGTGCCTATGAGCAACTGGCCTCCAGCCACTGCACTCAGGGGGCAACGAAGTCCCATGGGGGCCTTAGGTCCGCAAGCATCATATGGATACCTTAGACACTCTGAAGCATCATCCTGTCTCCTTGAGGTGTGCTGAAAGTACAAGTTCTGGTATCACCTACAACTTCAATTTTCACTGCTACTTGCCTTTCCATGTATTACAGTAATTTTAAGGACAAGCTGATACTAGTAACAAGCTCTACAGCTGATGATATTCATCATGGGAAGCAGAATTCATCTTAGCAGATATTGCCTGTCTCAGAGTTCAAGGGCTCTATTCTACACTTAGACAAACTCCTTGTGTAGTCACTGGGAAGGAAGAACTGCCACCCTGGGTACCTGAGGAAGATATATATAGATATATATATATATATATCAAGCTGATACTAGTAACAAGCTCTACAGCTGATGATATTCATCATGGGAAGCAGAATTCATCTTAGCAGATATTGCCTGTCTCAGAGTTCAAGGGCTCTATTCTACACTTAGACAAACTCCTTGTGTAGTCACTGGGAAGGAAGAACTGCCACCCTGGGTACCTGAGGAAGATATATATAGATATATATATATATATATATTTGTTCAAGTCTCCTGTGAAATTCAGCAGCAGCCTTTGAGAAGTTCACCACAGCAGAAAAAAGAGAATCTAGAGAAGGAAGGACTTTGTGAGCAACTTCAGAGTATCTGCTGAGCCAAATACACCTTTCAGTCGCCCAGGGAAAAATTACATTTGTTTTGCTAATATAATGGCATTAATTTTGTTGTTTTTCCATAACTTCCATCCCTGTGGCAGATGAAGAAATGACCAACACCGAGATGTCTTCAGGCATCAGGAATCAGGACTTTATTGAAGCTTTGCACTGCTTATATATCCTTTTTTCCTCCAGCACACCCCAAGCACGCGGCACTCTTTCACTTTTGATTCGTTACCCCTTATCACACACACACCTAAACAATTGACATGATTGGATAAATCCATCTGTTCATGAGCCATTCTTCTGCTTCTGACTGGTTACTAATTACAGCACACAAACCATCCTTATCTTGTCTCATACACATTCTTTCTTGTTTTTTACACTTTGTTTTAGTTTTCACTCAAGATCAGGAATTAATTGCTCAAGGCTGAGGCTGCCTGAAGCTTCGGCTCTTAAAGCACCAACAGTTTCCCTAGTGCAGACTTTAACGAGCTACACTACTGGCAGTAAGAGACAAAGACCTTGTGCAACAAAGGCAACAACAAAGCAGAATGTTTAATAAATCTTTCACAAGTGTACATCTTCCCTCTGCCTGGCAAGAAGAAGACTGGCTGGCATTGCGAATGGGTAACTGTGCAGTTTCCTTTTCAATAAATGAGTGCACTGCAGTGTTTAGGTATAAAAAGCCTGACTTACATAGAAAATACACAGCAGGCTGTGGAAGGACAGCAGGATTTCCCTCTTGGAATATTATGTCCTACTCATACCATAACAGAAGAGTGTGATATTTATATGAATAGCATGAGGTGAGGCATAAAAGACACAGTTGTCATGGAACACAGTGACAGACAAGGAAAACTGAAGCAGCCAAATCCCATGCTTGCTCCACACATGCACTAGAGCTACAGCAGAGGAGGTGTCTCTGCCATGACCCTGCGTGCCATCCCAAGGTGCTGCTCCTCAAACCCCAGGATTTTGCCTGTTAGGCCTGACTATGTGCAGGCAGGCTGGCAGGTCAGTCAGTTGTTTTTCCTGCTCTGTCCCTGGCAGTATGTCCAAGCCATGTCTTAGCCAAAGAGGCAGCAGACCTTTCTTTTAATGACAATATCAGCTGTGATAATTTTCCTGTGGAAGGGTCTCCTTAATACAGACTTGGGAAAATCATCAATTTCTACAACTAATTTTTGTAGAATAAGTAAAAGGTGGATGTTATGAAGAGAAGAACTTTTGGCCTTACCAAAATTCAACTCAATTACAAAGAAGGAAGCTTTACAACATGTACATTTTGCCCACGAGTTTCAGAAAAATTTAGATAAACCAGAGTATCCCCTCTTTGATCATACAGGAACATGGGGCATAAGATTAGGTCATCTCCTATATCCAGTCCTCTGTTGGCAATTATGGCCCTTCACTGTTTATAAGTTTACCACACTATTTTAGTGTGATAGGCTTTCGGTAGATAGATTTATCACACTATTTAGCCTGATTGGCTTTCTGTTCCCAGGACTCCTATTGCAAGTGGTTCTGCAGTCTTTTTTGCTCTTACCTTTCTAATAAACTTATTTATTCATCACCAGCCTACACTTGCCTGTTCTTACATTAATATTTTTGTTTAGTTTACATAACTAGAGGCACAGATTTTATGCAAGCAACCTTTTTACAGACTGCAGTATAGACAGACCCATGTCACCTTGTGAGGGTAAGAATTTACACTTGTTCATAACCGTGGCAATAGTTTGCCAGAGGACAGAGTTCTGCCCTGCTGACATCATGATTATATCGTGCCAACAGATTGTATTTCAGAAGCAGTAGGAGGGGATTTAAGAGAAAAAAAAAGAAAGGTCATCTGAAAAGATATAACAGAATTTGTGGTCATGTTCACTAGCTATTCGGTGTTGCTTTTTTTAGAAAATACCACAACATTTTTTTTTCTCCCTGCAAACCTGAGTTCCTGTTAGCAGATGACTGTAAGTACAAGTTTAATGAAAAAAGGTATCCAGCCTTCATTGTTGCAGAGAAGCAGCTGAAATGTGAATCCAAAGATAAATAAAACCCTTAATCTATTTTTTTCAAGGACAATTATGTAATTTATTCAGGATTAATTAACAATTTGCTGACACTCAGTGTTTTCAATAGGCACTTCTATGAAAATTCTGAGTGAAATTAATTTTAATTTTCACAGTATTGTAAAAACTACCTATATATTTTAACGCACTCTGGTGTAATAGAATAAACAAAAATTAAAAATTATAGTTTTATTCAAGAAATAATTTTAAACTGATCAGGTATGAGAGAAGAGTCTTTTCAGACTAAAAAATATGCCTTGTAAAAAAACTGGTCAAAATGACACATCTATAAAGTTATTAAGGAGAGGGTTAAGTGATAACTGGGGGGGGGGCGGGGGTGGGATAGAAAATAAAAAAAAAGCTTAATTCTGGAATCTAGGAACAAAAACAGATGCATTGGTCAGAAGGTAGTTTGGGAAACTTCTAATCTAAAATGAGAAAGAAACCTGAACACTGAAAATAAATGATTTAACAGAGATCTTGGTAGATGTTCTACTACCGCAAAAAGGAAGTCCAGACTTGGTGTTTCCTTACAAGGTATCTTGCAGTAAACACAAGAACATATGGAAATAAATCTTTGTGTTATACAAAATCTCAGAACAGATGATCCATCATGCAGGGCTTCCTGTCTTGAGCAGCCTTTTTGCAAAACAGGATGACTTTTTAAAATAGTCAAGAATTTTCCACCTAAGCCATTACATGAAGTTTTAAACATCATTTTTAATTTTCCCTAAATGAGGAGTCGATTTGAGTTACTTCTACAACCCAAAAGAGTCCTGCATCTCCAAAAAGCTATCTACGTCTCTAAGCCATGGGTCCCTCCTATACCAAGTGAATTAGGACTGACTGAAAATCTTCCTTGGTACAGAAAGAGAAGGGGTGAATGAGGCAAGAAAGAAAGAAGAGTGAGAGAGGGAAAGAAAGAAGATTACTGAGGCAGCTATCCTAGCTTGGGATCCAGAGCACTCTGCTGCTTCCGACCTGTTTTATTTGCTTCATTGCAATGTGTTCAAGTGCTCAGCAAATGGATGTATTTATGCAGAAGAGTTAGAAAAATGCTTCTGTTGCCTAAAAATGGTACCCAAGCAGAGACAGATGGTAAGCAAGTTTCCCAGGGTCAGATGAAGTCTTTGGCTGAGGAAGAAAAGGCACCTGTGTCCCTCAAGTTCCAGGCAGTTGCCATACTCGTTTAACTTTTCTTCTTTTTTAAGCAAGAAAATGAGAAGTGAACTGATATACCTCTTTGTTCCACATTTGATTGTAGTCCATGAGCACTGTAATAGTGCCCATAATTAATGATAAGCATGAAAATTGTTATAAACCTCTCATGTAGACAGTAATGTGTTAAACCTGTGTCACATTTAGAAAAAAAAATAGAGGCTTTTTATTATGATGGTAGAACTGAAACAGGAAAGTAAGGATTTCAGTTTCAGAGCTGTAACATATAACATGTCCTTGCATAATTCTAATTAATGCACTTAAGAAGTAGTCTTGTGTCTCTTACTCACCAAATGATACTTTGTAAGTTTTCAGCTGTTCTTCATGTTTCTTGGCCAATTTATAAATTCTATTGCTATATCCTTTTAAGGCTTCTCCATAATCTCTACAGTCGAATGGAATGACCTGGGAATCTGCCAGTTCATAAACCAGTTTGCCTCGTAACTGGGCAATTGTTAGCTGTTTCTTGAAGGTGGGGTCATAAAACTTTTCCACTAACTCAAAGGTTTCATAGACAGTATGATAAACAGGATAATTGCTGAATTTGTCTGCTTTCTGAAAAAAAAGCAAGCAAATTTGTTAGTGTCCTGTACTCTACCTGCAGTTAAGGGATTCATTGATCACTTAACGACTGTGATGTTTTGCAGTTTCCAGATCAAAAAAGCTATTTGCTACAAACCACAATTTACTATCCTTCTATTTTTTTGTGTGTTCATTTTAAGAAACTAAACCAACCTGAATCCACGGACAGTTGTACAAGATTAAGTGAGCAGGCATCCTCCTCTCTATTTACACAGACCTGCCTTCAGTTCCCTGGTACAAAGAGATTGCCTTCGCTAAAAGTGAAAACAGTTTGGGGTTTTGGATAGCAGAAATCCTTGATCATGGCACCTTTTTATCTTGTGTAGTCATTTCTGAACACAATCAAGGAAGATTAGTAGCCACCATTCCAGTAGTACGGTGGAATGAAATATGCACCTATTTATTCTATAAAATCTTTATTTGAACTTGACAGCCTGTAGAATATACACATCACTGCAACGTTTCATTCTCCAAACATTTAGGTTTCTTGCTAAATTAAGAACTGTCACTGATAAACAAACTAGCCAAAGATTCTTTGGAGGTTTTTTTTTATTAATTATGAATAAATGCTTTTCAAAGACGACTGCTCAGCACTATCAAACTTCTTCAAGTAATCTGGAGGACTTACCCTATTCTTGGTATAACGGACTCTGCCTGATGCAATCCCCAGTCGCTGAAAATAAGCTTCAAAATCACTGCCTGATCCCAGTTTGTTTATTCTACATGTAGAAAAGACAACATCTTAGCAAGAGCACTTGTTTTATAGTATGGTACTAATTTATGCAAAATGCAGATTTTTCAAAGAAATGGAGGTCAGTTCTTCTGGAGAGCACATCAGGGACACTAGTAAGATCAGAGACTAGATGAGTGGCAAGCTTAATTACTCTAACTGATTTTATTCCACCACAATAATTCAGTATCCTGTATTACTGGGAAGGTCTTTTAAAGGTAGCAATCCTCTTATGACACTGACCACATTTTTCAAAAGTGCACACATTATTCACAAGAGCCATAAAATTGTATCATCAGACATGTCTCTGCAATCTTAAAACATTAATCATCTATTTCCAAACTAATATGAATTGGGCAGTAATATATGTAAAGACAGATTTGTTTATATACTTAGCATATTCCACAGTAGAATCAAAGAATGAGAAAAAATTTCCACTGCAAAAGACACAATTAGCATTGGTTATTTACAAGTAAATATTGCCATCTGCTGGGTAGGTGTGGCAAGACAGAGGAAAAGAAAATACAATAAAGACAGATGTAGTATTCTAAGTATTTTCAAATGTTTATTTAAGTTTTATTTTAAGTTTTAGGTTTATATGTCTAGTCTGGTGAATAATTGGTGTTTCTCAGTTGGAAAAGAAAAATGTTTCTTCTGTTCCAGCTCAAGATCTGTTGGTATAAATTTTTGCAGGGAACTATTTGTATCAAGTGAGAAAGATCAGATCTGGTAGCTTTTAAAAGAGGAAGAAATTTCAGCAAATCTAATGAATTTAGAAATTCATGTTACCTGAAATATGGGGTAACACATGCAGAACATTTTGGTCAAATCACACAAAGGGGCAGTTCTATTTACCTCGTGTGAGTAATGCCACATTGTGAATAAAATGCAGCCCTACATGTCACATGCTCAAAGAGGGTTTTGGAATTTTAATACCTTCAAATATGAAGTTTTAACACCTTCAGATATAGATTTGTAATGTATCACATTTGCATCCATTGTATAAACAAAGAATAAGTATCATGAGACCTTTTTAATTACTGCTCTAGGCAGTTCCCTTCAAATGAGCATTTGCTTATTCTAACAATTTTGATATTATCTCATCTAGAAGGGTAACTAAACTATACTTTGAA